TTGTTTTTTGTATTTTTAGTAGAGATGGGGTTTCACCATTTTGCCCAGGCTGCCCTCAAACTCCTGACCTCGTGATCCACCTACCTCGGCCTTCGAAAGTGCTGGGATTATAGGCATGAGCCACCACACGCGGCCAATATTATTATCTTTAAAGCAAAACTAGGAATGTCTTTGTTCTCCAGATATTGGGATATCTGTACATTCCCAAGTCTGGGTCTGTTTAGTAAACATTATGAATTTGTTCCTGTAACTGTAAACATCTATAGGTTAGGAAGGCCTAACTTTCTGAGAATGGAGCCTAGCAATCTCAGCCTCATTTTCCTAGCGCTCATGCCAAATAGAGTCGCTCTGGTTCAAACGTCTCTGTCACTATGTGAAAATAAACCTTGGTCCTTATAACTGTAGTTCTAACTGGTAATCTTACTTACTAATGTCTTAATAATAGGTTGCCTTGGTAATAATAATGTAATTAATATTTCTGTCTCCTAGAAAATATAAATTATTATGCGTTTCCTTGCCTAAGGTGGAAGCTCTAAAATTCATTACATTCTTTACACACGCCCACAATTAATCCAAACCCCTGTCAGCATTAATCATTTAATCCTCACAACAACTCTAGTCGTATTTTTCGGCATCCTTCCTATATCTACTATTCAGATAACTAGGATTCATTAAACTTGAATTTTTTTAGGGTAGTGATTTTGTATCATTATTTTCTTCATTTTGTATTTAGGGAATATAAAATCCTTCCTCCTGGTCTTCTAAGACTGGGGCTTAGGTCTGAGATGTCATTCGTAGTCATGATACCTGTGGACTTTTGGACTTTTCTGATTTTTGTTTTTCTAATTCTTAATAAAATTAAGCCTTGGTATTCTCCTCTTCCACTTAAATTAATTGTAACATAAAAGAATGGAGGTCTCTTGGGCCTCTCAATCAGCCTGGTCGCACAAGGTTATTAGAGTAGTGCTACCATCTAATTTACTCTTCAACCCAGGCCATCGTAGACAATGAAAAGATGTGCCACTATTAAGCTTGGACAATCGACACTGATCGCATGCAAACCAGGACACATAGTCACTTATAAGAGACTGTTGGAAAATCCCTTTAAGGCCTGGGGACTCTGATATCATGATGACAGGAAATCTTTCTTTTTCAGGAGAAACAAGTGAAAAGAACTGACTGCTGCTATTGTCTATTATTCTCAGCTTCGCACCATAAGAAACTGTGTGTACCTTCCCGGAAGGCAGAATACATTAAGTAACAAAGGAAGAGAACAGGCAAGGCTTGTCAAAGTCCTTGTGAGGAGTTCCTCTTGGTATCTAGAAATCGTACTCGCTTTCTTGCTCTTTTTCCTACGAGTCAGTGTGTCACTCTGTTGCCCAGGCTAGAGTGCAGTGGCGTGATCATGGCTCACCATAGCCTCCAACTCCCGGGCTCAAGCAGTCCTCCTGCCTCAGCCTCCTGAGCAGCTGGGACCACAGGTGCATGCTACCACACCCAGCTAATTAAAAATATATACACACACATATATAGTGGAGATGAGGTCTTGCTGTGTTTCCCAAGCTGGTTTTGAGTTCCTGGCCTCGAGTGATCCTTCTGCCTCAGCCTTCCAAAGTGCTGGTATTACAAGCATGAGCCACTGTCCCCACCCCACTTGCTTTCTAATAATTCTGCATTAGTCTGTTCTCATACTGCCATAAAGAAATGACTCAAACTGGGTACTTTATAAAGAAAAGAGGTTATATTGGTTCATGGTTCTTTAGGCTGTACAGGAAGCACACTGGCTTCTGCTTCTGCGGAAGCCTCAGGAAACTTTCAATATGGCAGAAGGTAGAGGGGGAGTGAGGCATCTCACATGGCAGGAGCAAGAGCAAAAGAGAGTAAGGGGGGAGGTACTGCACACTTTTAAATAACCAGATCTCAAGAGAACTCACTCACTATCACGACGACAGTACCAAGGGGGATGCTGTCAAACCTTTCATGAGAAACAGCCTCCATGATTCAATCACCTCCCTCTAGGCTCCACTCCCAATGTTGGGAATTACAATTGAACATGACATTTGGATGAGGACACAGATCCAAACCATATCAACTTCTATGAAAGAAGAGAATGATTTGAATGAAACGAGAAAGTAGATTTCCAGCACTGAATGGTCCCAAAAGGAGTAAAATAATTGTGACAGGGTGTGATCATTGGCCTGCAATTTCTGCCTGAAGAAGAGTAGGAAAAAGGAGGTCTGGACATCACATGCCTTGCTTTATGAAGCACCTCCGCCAAGTACAACGTGACCAGTGGCTGTGGATGGTTGACAACTCCCCTACTCTTCCCCCTCTTCTACTGTCTACTCCTGGGACAAAGTGAGCCACGCCAGCTCAGATACTACACTGACCACAGGGAACCTCACCTTTTCCATGGAATGGAAGTTGTGTAGGGAATATCCAAATGTTGCTTAGCATTGCCTTAGATAAGAACCAAAGGGACAGTGAAGCCCTCTGACAGCTATCTGCCCTATAACTTTCATCTTACTGTGCCTAAAATATGCTCAGAACCCAGAAAGAGGCATAATTCCTCATTTTGGCAGGCTCTAAATCTAAAATAATGATTCCCAAACATGGTGTAACTTGTGCCTGATTTGCTTTATCCTGGGTCACTGCTCCTTTTCTGTCAGACACTGGGATTCCAGTGAGACAAATGGAAATGGAGCCCTAGACCCTCTGACCTTCTTTTATCTATATACATACACCTGTGTGTGTGTGTCTGTGTGTGTGTGTCTGTGTGTGTGTGTAAAACCGAGTGGGTTTTTTTTCTTGGAATGAAAGAATGGGCCAATATTACAAAAAATAAAAACTTGAAACAGAATGTGTATTATCCTTGGTTGTGTTTTCTTGGCCCTGCAGCAGGATGAAGCTCTCCATTGGCATCATTTTCTGCTCCCTGGTACTGGGTGTCAGCAGCCAACGATGGTTAACATTCCTCAAGGAAGCTGGCCAAGGTAAGGTCCACAGGATAGGGAGCAGGAGGCTGCTTCTGGCTGCCCCCAGAATTCAGCTGAGCAGAGGCCACATCCCCACTGGGCAAAGGTGCTAGTGATGCCACAGATGGATAGAGAAGGGGCATGGTTTTTCATAAGCGTGATTTCTCATGCTTTTATGGCCAGCTTTGCCACTCTTCTATGAGCATCCCCCAGCCTGGGGCTGCATAAGGTGTGAGCTGCCTCTTTTCAGCAGGAGC